TCAGTTAATGCATGTAGTAGTTTAATTTGCAGATTGGATAATGTGACTGGCTGTATTAAAATAGCTTATTGATCTGAATCTTTTTTTAAAATTATTTTTCCATAATATTAATATTTATCAGTAGTAAAGATACGTTGTAGTATTTAACCCATTCACTTTTTGCTTGTTTTGATGCAATTCCAGGATACTGGAGAAAATGTCCCACAGAAAACTTCTCCTTTCTCTACTCATTCGTATGATGTCTTTATTCCTCCTGATATATTGAACTTGAGCAGCTTTACCAAATTAATGAAGAAACTTCAAGAAATTCATCCAGAGGCTAGCAGGTGACAGCATTTGGATTTCATTTCTGCCCTGTTTTGTAATGGATCAAATATCCATGGTAAGTGTTTTGCACAAAATATGGTGTAAACAGTTATTTATTTTATTCCTGTAGAGACAAAATTGTGGATGCTTTGCTGAAGGTGAGGAGAAATAATGAAGGTATCCTAAGTGGCTTGTCCATCAACACTATTGTGGAAAGGACCTCTGTCATTCTAAGGAAATCGACCCCTAGTTGTGGGTGGCAAAAGCAATGTAAGTGAGTATTCTAGCCTACAGAAATATACTGAAATGTAAACCCACTTGAAGTTGTGTAGTTATATAGCCTGGTTAGGTTAGTAAGGAACTTACTATAAAGCTCTGCAAGAAGTACCTGAATGAATGCACTGACACAGTAGTTTCTAAGGATTGTGGAACATCTGTAAACAGATTGGCTTGCTAGCTCTATGGACTCCCTAAAACGTGGTATACTGGGGTTTCTGTTACACAAACTATTATCGAGTGACTTCACGGAGAACATCTTCACATATTTTCCAGACAAAGGTGACACCTAATGGCCGGTCGCTGTGTAGCATGTCACAAAGAAGTTCCAGCATAGGCTCAGTTTTGGTATAAAAATTGATGGTTTCTGTCAGATGTATGAGATTCGGTTCTGGACTAGAAATCTAACAGAGTAAGATTGTATGTCTGATACTTTTTTTCATGTGAAAGGACATCTTGCATGATGGCGCAGCACTGGATGCTGCAAAAAGCTCTAGCAAGCTGAACATGCTAAAAGCCCATCCCAGAACTTAAGTGTGTGTGTTTGTGTGTATTTAGTCTCCTGTAGGAGACATCCTTGAGTTGGTGCTTGTTTCAGTCTCCTACTAAAGCTTGCTATTCTGCTTGCTCTAGGGCTGCTAGCACTGCCACTACCTGGTTTCCCACAGTGTCCCATACGTTCCTAGCAATGCTCCAGCTTCACTGTTACCCATAAACACAACCTGTCCAATTGTATGATATTTATTCTTCTACAGTGTTTGTTCCCAAAACTGCACAAAATTCTTAATGTGCTGATTTTGGTCTCAAAACTCCTGTTTCAAGCATATCAAGGAGTCAGCTTGGTTTTAATTGATACTACCTCTTCCAAGATGAGCAATATTTATAAGCTGACAGTTTTACATATCAGAGTATCTTTCCCAGCCCCTGGATGTTGCTGAACAGACTGAATTCTCCTGGTTAGGTGCCTATGCATGTGTTACTGTAGTGCACCAGGGAACCATAACACAGTCTTAACTTGAACAGAACTGCAAACTCAGTAGAACTGTAGAAGTAGAGTGATTCTGCCCAGGAAGGCTAACCAGAAGTCTGAGCTAGAAGAGCTTCCCCAGACACATTAAATATACAAAGAAATGATTATAGGTCATTCATCTCAGTCCTTGTTCTGGGAAGTAATATCAGTGACCAGAAAAGTCCTTCAGAAAGACTGACTGTAGCTTGTGTTAAATACACAGAGACACAGGATAGGATTTTCATAAAATCGTAGAATGGTTTGGGTTGGAAGGGACCTTACAGATCACCCAGTCCAACCCCCCTGCCATAGGCAGGGACACCTCCCACCAGACCGGGCTGCTCAAAGCCCTGTCCAACTTGGCCTATTTTGCATACAGCCTAAGACTGTACCTCCCATAGTGATGAAGAGCATGAAAGAATCTCAACCAAGGTGAATGTCTGGCTGAGTTCCTTTTGAATGGATTAGTGTAACATAAGTGTGTTAGTTTGGCATCCAGAGTGCCCTGTGAGCTTTTCCATATGCCTCCAGGAATAAAAATGGAATTTAAAAAAGAAAAGTCTTCATTTAAATTTACTGACTGATTTTCCACAGAACTGCAGCTACGGATGTAAAATCACTGCAAAAAAGCCCATCTTACGCTTGAAAGTATTTTCAGTTAGTAAGGTTTTGATGGCCTCAACTGTCTTGTGCTTTCCATGTCCAGTGATTTATCTTTTTTTTAATGGTGTGTGGGCTTTACATTCATAATTGTTCTTATGATGGTATTTTTTATGTTCTTTTGCTAAAGAGATGATGACCTATAACCATTTCTGCTTTCATCAGGAGGGAGTTGTGACATAGCCACATCATTAGTAAGTAACAGGGAAAAAAAGAGTTCTGATCTTTCCATAGTAAGAAACAAGTATGTAATATCTTTAAGATAAGGTGATTCTACTCAAAGCTCATCTACACTAATTCTGGTGTGTGTATAGTGTCAGAATTTCCTGAAGGGCAAGTGTCCACTGAGCAATACCACCTCAGGGTTCTTGCAAGCTGATGAAACATCGTCCAGAGTTGCACAGAGAATACTTGTGTGTCAAGCTGTTACACATTAATTACTAGGTAATAAAACTTAAATTTAGCTATAATGTAAAACACTATATAATCCTGCATTTTTCTTTGGCTGACTTAGCCCAGAGTTGGACATCTGAGTGTATATGGATTTTGCATATTTGTTAATTTTGAAAGAGTAACTCCATTAGAAATGGGAAGTCAGGTTTTGGACTGCAAAATCCCTCTATTCTCATTAGTGAGCAGCTGCTGTATTCACCTGAACAGCGTGCTCAACCTTCTTCTGTTTCTAATCCTAATGGTAGGCAGCAATGAACAGGAATTGTGATGCTATAAAAATTACTCAGTGCAGTATTATAAATGGCTTTTTCTTTAAATTTTATCAGTACCAAATGTCCATGCTTGGAAGCTTTCTGCAAAAGTAATAATGTCCATGGTTAAAAACAGACCAGTGGAGAGGGGTCTTAGCAAAGCGTAACTAAAGCAGTGCTTCGAGAAACACAAATAAATGCATAGAGTCTATGTACTACTAAATGATGACTTGATAACTTAATTTTGCATTAATTGAATTAATTTAAAAATATATCATTTGTTGCATAAAGGTTATATATTTTATTATAGTAATTTCTTTTGTGTGGTCCTTGAAACTAGGAAACTTCACTTTTCTGTGTACTTCTGCAGTGCCCAGTAAAACGATTACAGCTTCGTGGGGTTTTCTGGCGTACTAAAATGCTGATGTTCCTTTTCTTTCAGTTTGAGTGCGTACATGGAAAATTCACTTGCTGCTTTTGGTGGTTGGTTGTGTTTTGTTTGTTTGTTTTAAAGCAGATGGCTTTCCAACTATGAAGAATTGATCATCTCCCTTTGGAAGGCTTTTGCAAGTTCTGTACTCCAGCGTGTTCTGGGATCGTACTGTGTTTCTTGTTTATTTCAGCAAATCTTAATGAAAACTCACGTAGCACCACTATGACATGCAGTCTTATCAGAGAGAATATAATATGAAGGTCAGTTTGGGGTGGTTTTTTTTGTTTATGCAGACATTTAAATGATTCTTCCCAGTTTTGCTGTTCCTCGTTGCTGGTTCAAGCATTTCAGCAGGTTTCTCAAAGGTAGAACCATCACACTTCAGGGAAACGAGACTTCCCTGATACCGGCAGGGCTTTTCTAGGGTGAAGTACAGAACTGCCAGTTCTTACATGGCACTTAATTTTAGGCATGGCGGTAGCTGCAAAGATGTTAATAAATAGCCAACACGCTTGTGCTTTCCAGATAATCTGTTTCTGAATAGTTTGTAGAAATTCCACATAGGCTTTGAATACCAGGGAGGCAGCGAGGGCTTCATTTCAAGAAAGCCAGGCTTTGGAGCTGGCAGTGCTGGTGAGACAGTTACATAATCCCGGGCTGCAGCAGAGTCATCTCGTGTCCGGTTTTGACTTAGCAGCGTTTCACAGACTGCAGAGCGGTGTTATGGCCAAATGGTTCCTTCACCATAAAGCCTAGTTTTTATTATTTTCTTTTCAGAATATGGCATTTTGTTGTCTTGTATTCTACTTCTGTTACTGCAAGCAGAGGATGAGCTGCTGAATCTTCTTTTTGTGTCCCATGGCCTGATAATAGTGGGAAGCACGAGCTCCACGAGACTTTTGGTTTGGGTTGATAGAGGAGGGAGGAGGAAAGCTGAGAGTAGCCAGTCTTTCATGTTTGTGCTTGTCATTACTGTACAGAAGAGGTCTAGATTTTAAATCCTCTTCTAGTAAATGATGGAAAGGCAGCTTAGGTGCACTTGTCTGGTCAGGGGGTGAGGAGAATTATCCTGGATTGACACGGACAGGCTCATGCTGTGATATTGCATGACAAGACACTACATCGCTGTTGTCCATCTCTGTCTCTTTGTTGTACTTTGTTCTAGGTTCTATATTTGCTGCTGAAAGTAGCAGCTTTACTTACTTTTGAATAAAGGTTCACATTTGTTCTTCAAAAAAGTTGTGCTGATGTTCTGCTGTTTTCGATCTCATCCATTCCCTCTCCTCTTAGCAGAATCACTGTAGGTAATGCTGTCAGAGCCACAGCCTTGTCTTCAACAGCCAATGCTGCAAACTTGGTCCCGAAGCTTCAGGTGAGGCCTCAACTTTGGTTTCTTCCCCGTTTGTATCAAGATGAAAGCAAGCAGCCACAGGCTTAGTGATCCCTAGACTTGATTCAGTAATTAGGTGGGTGTTAATAGTTCAGACAGAGCTGGCTTTCTGGCATGGAAGCTGTTTTGTTTCTGTTGGGAAAGCAGAAACTGTGTGATGTGAAACACTCAAGTTAGCCAGTGAGGTCCACTGCTTTCTTTGTCGTTTTTCTGTTTCTTGTTCTTCCCCTTCTGGAAGGAGGAGCTAACTTAAAATGGAGAGAACCAGTCTGTGTGGTGGTGACCTCCCTGCAGCTGGAGCCCTTGCCCACTGGGATGATAGGTTCCTAATGGTGTATCCTAATCCTAAGTGTGCTTCCAAAGAGCCCAAGCAGGCGCTGTCATGTTCAGGCAAAAATGTAGTTATCTGCTGTAGGTGGAGCTGTTCTAGCTCGTAACGATTGTCCATTCGGTTTAAAAGAGAAAAAAGCCCAACCACAAAGCACTTCTTTCTAAAATTGCATTCCATTCAACACTGTAAAAAGGACAGCATGAGTTTTAGCCTTAAGCTAGAGAGAAATGCCTTCTGTGAAGATGACAGGAGGGCCGAGGTAAATGTTAGGGGAGAAAAAGAGGGGTTGTTTTCTGTTCCCTTTCCCGTGTCTCTGGGCACCCACCTGCCCATACCACAG